AAATTTTACTCTCCTTGGAAAATTGTGTTTGGAAATTATTTTCCTACTGCAGATTGCGAAGACCCGTAAAAAGAGAATCTTATTTACGTTCGTATTAATTATCTTAAATATTGGAAAAAGAGTTTAGAACTTGCTATAGATGAAACGATGCGCCATTAGGTAATGCAATACCTAATATCAATTACAATGGACAACATCGTGTATCAGGTAGGTACATTCCCCTGTGAACCGGAGCACGATCGTGTAAAAAATAACGAAAAAATGGTTCATCGATACTGGATTCCAGCAAAACGGCTAATGGTACTAGTCTATATTAACTATCGCTATTAGTCGGGTGTTACGCTTGTCCATTCAAATCAATTCTCATAATTGATTCTCACAATTAATAATACTTAGAGTCTCGTTGAAAGATAAAAAAGTGGTCTAATCTTAAAGAGAAATCGGTCGGTACTTACGTCTCTCTGTTACCCGTATCGACCGGTTGGTTTGATTCGACGCGTAGACGAGTGTCAACAGAGATTTCATTCGGAAAAAAGGCTAACGGTGTTGGTTACGCGCCGATACGTCGACTAACGAACCGACGTATTTGCTCTCGTTTCCGCCGGCCTGCACCGATCTAACGATTCCACCGGCCGCAAAAGAAGGGAGAACAGGTACGACTGCTTTTCCCATTTTTCCAACTCTACCTGCTGCAAATCGTTCAATTTGATTCGACGAGCCCGTAACCGACGACAAATAACGTCGAGAATGTAAAAATTTCTAATTCGTTAGAGCTATATTTCTAGTTAGCAACTAGGCTGTCCTGTAACTGGCAAACTAATTGTGTTAAGTGATGTGGGGTTCCTCCCCATCTTCCTTGTTTCCCACAGGTTCCCTGGCGGGAGTGGGCGTCGGAGTCGGCGTCGCCGGGATGGGCTGCGGTAGTTCGAACCCTCTGGAGTGGACCGGGCAAGTGACGGTGCGAAAGAAACGCAAACCGTACTCCAAGTTCCAGACGCTCGAGCTCGAGAAGGAGTTCCTATTCAACGCGTACGTCTCGAAGCAAAAACGATGGGAACTGGCGCGCAATCTGAATCTAACCGAGCGACAGGTGAAGATCTGGTTCCAGAATCGACGCATGAAGAACAAGAAGAACAGCCAACGGCAGACGCAGCAGCAGAACAACAACAACAACAGTAGCGCCAACAACGCGAATCACCACGCGGCGACCGGTAGTCATCACCATCCGAGCGCCGCGCATGCGCCACCCTCGAGTCACCACGTGGTCGCGCAGGCGCACCACGCGAACGGTTCAGCGAAGCATCATCAGTGACCCGTGGCCTTCTCTGGGGTCGTATTCGGCCATCCTCATCACAGCAGCCACCACGGCTCTACAGTGGCGAACGGTTGCGCCGGGACCGGGAACGGCACGGGGACCGGAAGCGGTGGTGGCGGGCACACCGGGACAAGCCACGGGAGCCTGGTTACAGGTCACAGCCATACGCTTCACGCGCCCCAACCTCAAACGCCTCTGCCGACCCACGCGGCCGGTGCCTCGAGCACCGGCACGCCTCCCACCGCCGTCGTTCATCCGCACATTCACGCACACGCTCATCATCATCAGTTGGCGCACGTGGCTCAGCAGTATCCTGCGCTTCTTCATCATCAAACGCCTCATGGCCTGGCCGCCTGAACACCACCATCCTTCAGGCTCATTCTTCCACGCCCCAGAGAATAACAACGAGTCGACGAGTCGTCCGCGTATACACACACACACACACATACACACACACACAAATATACACGTATATATATATAGAGAGAGAGAGAGAGAAACGGCTCGCCACCCTTGCAACGCAACTTCTCATCGTCTTCGTCCTCGTCGTCGTCGTCGTACTTCGTGGCCAGTCGTTGTCATTCGTGAATCGACAGCCATGGACGAAACAACGCGATTGGATAGATAGATCATATATACCCACAGAAACACACACACACACTTGTCGAACTTTGTTCAAGCAGCTGTTGAAAGACTGCCTAATACCACATGTAAGGAGGGAGAAGATAATGTTTCGCGAGTAGTATATTATTATTATTATTATTATATTATTTTATTATTATTAATATTATCATTA